GGCGCTTGCGGAGCCCTCGCCAAGGTCACCACCGGCGGGCGGGCCGCGCCGGCGTGGGAGGCTCCGCACCGAGCTTGTGGCCGGGCGAAAAATGTAGGTTAGGGTCAGCTCATTGAAGATAGACTTGGACTGGCAGCAAAAGCGGCCAGTGGGGCCCCCCTCATTCCTCAACTAAAAGATTTGCCTGTTTAAAAAAGACCAACGGAGGGCTGGTGATATAGCTCAGTGGCACAGAGCCTGCCTGGTAAAAAAAGGCCAACGGGCCCCGCTGCATGCATTTAGCAAACTGCGGATGTTGGGCCTGCAGGAAGAGGTCGGCAAAGGAATTCGGGCAGAGGAGCTGGGAGTGGTGGGGAGCGCGAACTGTAGAGCCTGGGATGGGCTGCTGTAGCTGTTTTTCCAGGAACGAATACAGGCTCACTGTGCACAGAGAGTCCAAGTTCTTCAAAGAGACCAAAGCGCTGGATTTTTCCCCTCTGGTTTGGCTTTTTGTCTGTTTCTAAAATATATAAACCAAATAAATTATGTCTACGACTCCAGCATACATTTTCTGCGAAAATAGCTGAATGTGGTTCTGTCTCCACCCCCACATCTTCAACTTTTTAATGAGATGCATGTTGGAAAATGTGCTTAGCCAAAAGACTTTAAGCTTCAGATCTGTCGCTCTTCTCTGCTATTTGAAGAGAAGCTATTTCTGCCCACGCTAAAACAGTGCTCCAGATTTAGGCATTTCTGCTGAATTAACCCACTAAACTCAAATTCCCTATCCAGAGACGTGACCTTTGCCGCACATTCCAGCTCCATGGAAGTCAGACGATTCATCAGATGATTGATGGCATGGGGCAGTTGGGGATTTCCATTTAGAAATAACCTGTTTTCCTTAATGTGGGGATTCACTACGGAGTCCATTTCTACATCATATTTTTCAAGCAAAATAGTGGAGAAATTTAGTCATTATGTGCAGTTTAAAAGCTGGATCGGCCCAATATGCAACGGCTGAGCCTAACACAACTGATCGCAATATATGAGTAACATCTATAATCAGTTTGTGAGTCAGTGTACCACAACTGTTGTGGTAAAGAAAATCATTTCTTTGACCTTGCATAACCGGTCTTTGATTGTGAAGCTTTAAGGCCCCCCACTGGAAATTATAGATAAGACCAAGCTATACGTGCTGTGATTTGTCACTGAACATGTAATGAAATTTGAATATTCTCGATTTTCACGAGGATGTAGGTTAGGGTCAGCTCATTGAAGACAGACTTGGACTGGCAGCAAAAGCAGCTATCATTCTCTTATCCTCGAGAATGATAACTCCATAATTACATTACACTACTTAAAAATGCAAAAACATTGTATTAGAAACAGCAAGAATGCCAAATATGTACAAACACCTTTACTACCAAAAGATGTCGATGTCTATTGCAGAGATTATATCCTCCTACTACACTTGTGAGTTCAGAATGAGTATCCTTAAACCAATTTGTAGGCAGAAATTGAGACCTATGTTAACTTCTCAATCTTACACATAAAATTTACTGGTTTAAAATAGGCTAGCTGGACATGATGGTTCCCACCTGTCATCACAGCTACTTGGAAGGCTGAGGCAGGAGGATAACAAGTTCCAAGCCAGTGAGACCATGTCTCAAAAAAAAAAAGTTAAAATAGGTTAAGTATTATTTTAACAACTTTCATTTTACTCAATCAAGCAGTTCGTAGTGGTGATTAAATATTATTCTAAAGCTGAAGGAAGGGCCATATATGCCTGTAAGTCTCAGCTATTTAAGAGGCTGAGGCAGAAGGTTCACTTGAGCCTAGGAATTTGGAGCCAGCAAGGATAACAGTGAAACCCCATCTCTTTAAAAAATGACACTTAAGATGAACATGGTGGTGCATGCCTGTAATCCCAGCACTTGGGAAGCTGAGGCAGGAGGATCACTGGGAGTTTGAGGCCAAGCTGGGCTACATGGTTCAAGGCCAGCCTGAGCTACATAGTGAGACACTGTCTCAAAAAGACAAAACAAAATCCCACTTGAGATTGTGAAATATACATATATGACATAGATAAATAGATGGTTGATAGATACATAGATGTATGTATGTATCATATATATCTCTCTTCAGTTAAACCTCAGTAACAGATAGTCCTTCGGACAAAGTTAAGTGCTGTCATTTGACCTGAAAGTTCAAGAGATACAAATACAGAAGTCAAATCCTAAGTCCCAAACCAACCTCCATATCAACATGTTTTTCCCATTTAGAGTTAGATTCTTAAGTTTATGACTTACAAAATGTTCTATCCGTTTTTGTCCTATAACATTTTTAATGTGTCACCATAACAGCATACTTACTTACCATAAGTGTGAAGCATTTTTTTCTAATATTCGTGGGAAGGTGGAGTTTTACTGGTCTTCCTGTGCCTATACTTGAGAGATTACTTAACCTGGTTGTGTCACAGGACGTAGTCTGTATACACTGATCACCATGGTTTGAATTTGAAGGGAAAAAGGCCAGGCACAGTAGTGTGGGCTAAGAGAGGCTAAGGCAGGAAAACCACCTGAGCCCACTTGTCAGACCTGGCCTGGATAACATAGAGAGACCGCCTCTTTTAAAAAAATATAAGCAACAACAAAAAAGAGATGAGGTTGGGTATAATGGTTCCGAATCAGAAATTTAGATGACTATAAAGATATGGCCTCATTGTTGATGTTGGAAAAGGAAATGTGTCCAAAGGCTCATGTCTAGGAAAATCCCCAGTGTGTTATGTGGGACTTCAGGTAGAGGGCAGCCTCCGGCATTGTGGTGGTGAAGTAGCCTCTGTTTCTCTCAGTTACTGCCCAGATTTCAAGTCCTTAATTCTACCTGTTTCTTGTCGTTGGCTAAGCAATTTTCTCTGAATGCCCACGTCCCATTTTTTGCATGTTCCTTTTCCCACTGCCTAGTAATGGTGGCCAGAGGTGATCCAAGATGAGACCAATCCTAAGCAAGTAGCTGAACCTTTCAGAGTGCTCTTTCAGCTTTGGTTTGCTACTTCCACATTGGAAGATCTTTCTGATTATCAGAAACAATGAGGAGATTGGTAACAGTGTAAAATTCCAAGGTCGCATCCAATTTGCCAGTTTATTATAGAGATACAACTAAGGAAGGGCCATAAGGAAGGGATCCGTAGGGCGAGGCATGGGGTTGAGGGCATGCCTGTAGCTTCCAGGCCTTCTCTGGCAATGCCCCTCTTCCGAGCCTTCTCTGGCTGTGCCACTCTGCTGGCACTTAACCTGCTCACCAACCCGGAAGCTACGTCTTTTAGTTTTGCACATTTTATTATGCCACGGCTTTGGAAAAACACTCAGTTTGACTTCCTGAAGGAAAATGGAATCTTTTGAAAAAGAAAAAAATGTGAACATGATGTGGATTCTGACCAACTTCAACACTGGCACTGAGGCAACTTCTGGTCAAAATACAGAGAGTAGTTTAATAAAGGTAAAAGAAATTTAAATTCTATATCAGTTTTTTACATGTAGCTCAATCTTTCAAATGCTTGAAGCTATATTGGCATAAAAATAATTGGAAAGCAGCCACCAAAGAGACTTTTTTTAAAAATAGGTTGCTTCACTTTGTGTGATTTCATATCATACTACTCTGATAAAGCCAACAGATCTTTGTAACTAAGGAGGGACTCTGAGATCCTTTCTCAGGAAGGGTTTTGACCATGCGGGAGGGAGAATTGTTATTTCTGTCTTCTGTGGGAAAACCATAACCCTTGTCACTGTGACCCTCATCTATTTTGTTTC